ATGGTGAATACATAATTTGATGAAATATTATTTTTTAAATATCGATTTCACCCTATGCAAGGCAGTAAAGCCCCTAACACAAAGAGGTTATTGGGTGTAGAAAATTAGAAAGAGACATTGCTAATGAACGGGAACAAAAAGAATAATCAGGAGGACATTAGACTGCAGTTGACATTGTAATTAAATTTGAGAATATTAAAATTGGCTGGAAACCATGAAGCCGGAAGGGAGTTCCACAAGCGAGAAGTGCGAGAAAAGAAACAGGTATAGAATTTACGGTTGCATCTGACCATCTCAGCTCTAAATTGTTGAGATCTCAATGTCGTTCTAGTACTGTGCTTAAATTCAAAAGTCTGTTTATAATGAAACACGGAACAATAGATTTTTATAACAAAAGGACATTTTTATAGTAAAATTTCGAACAATACATTTTATGATCTACAATTTATATATCTAAAAAAACTTAATCATGAAGACATCAATTTACGTACAATATATTTAGATTTCGGTATTACTGAGTTTGTAAAAAGATTGATTTTTTTAAATACGGAAGATTTAACAGTTTAGAATACCTGCCCTTATCAGAAATTATTTCGGTTTTCATTCTGCCATACTCACATTTTATTATCAAATATAGTTATTTTCTCATTTTAAAAATTCCAACAAAAATTAATATATTCCCCTATCACTCCTTTTAGCCTCGTACCTGACTAAATTATGTTTAGAAAATCTTTATAGTTGCTTACATCGACGCCTTCCGTTTCATTTATATCACCAACATCTTTGTGTTAATATTAAGAAAAGAGATTGGAGAAATTTCATATTTTTTTATCTTTAGAGAACCTCAAATATTTGGACGAAAAAAAAAACTTGTTTGCCTTGCATAAACAGTAAAGGTAGACATTTGCATAAATTTTGCGGCATAAAATGTATTGATTTTAGAAAAATATATTTAAAAAATCATTGAATAATTAGATTCCAATTAAATTTTCTGATGTTATTCTGTAAAGAACGAAATTGTTTTTGAACGATTTTTTAGAGAAACTTTGGGGCAATAATATATATATATATATATATATATATATATTTGTGAATTTTCAACTCTTTTACTTTCATGAAATTTCGATATAAACTTTCTTGCAAGCTGTGTGTATTCATAGTCACATTTACTTTTAAACTTTCTTATAACCCAAGGAAAACTGCAAAACTCCAACAGAAAGTAATGAAGGAAAGCAAGAAAAAAGAGAGTAAACACCAAACTGTAAGAGGACAGAATGCATGGTTATTAGACAAATGATTGAACCCAAAATGCAAATCCGACATACTAAAATCAAACAAGTAAAAAAAAAATATTTGGGAAGTGTTCGAACAGAGTAAGGAAAATAGGGCATTGAGATCCGAAAGAGAATTAGGATAGCCAAAGATGCTTTCCAAAAGCTAAGCAGGGTACTAAGAAATAGGAAAACTTCGCTAGAAACAAAGGAAAGTCTACTGAACTGCTACCTAATATCTGTCATCCTCTATGACAATAAATGCTGGACAATATCTTCAGATATGAAGAAAAGACCGGATGCAGCAGAAATGTATTTCTACAGGAGCATGCTGAGTATACCATGGACCGAACCTGTGAAAAACGACGAGGTTTTAGAGAATATGGAAAAAAAGGAGACTTTACTTAACATCAAGAAAATGCAGTTGAAATTTCTAGGGTGCATATAAAAGAAAAAAAAAGAGGGCTGAAGTGAAGAAGAATGAGCTGCCGGAAATGGATGTTGGAACAAGGATTAAGAGAAATAAGAAAAGAAACAAAATTTATTTAGAGCTACAAAGGACAAGAAATTGTGGAGAGCCATGATTGACAAAGTCCTGAAGGAACACGCCATATAGAATGAGATTGCGGAAATGATGGTGGAACAGGGTTTAAGAGAAATGACAAAAAGATAAAAATTATTAAGGGCTACAAAGAACAGGAAATTGTGGAGAGCCATGTTCGACAAAGTCCTGAATGAAAAACAACACATAGAAGAAGAATGAGCTTGCGGAAATGAATGGCGGAACGGGGTTTAAGAGAAAAAAAAGAAAAAGACAATCTATTAAGAACTACAAAGGAGAGGAAATTGTGGAGAGCCATAATCGACAAAGTCCTGTAGGGACACGGCCCTTAAAAGAAGACGGTTTTCCGCAGACTTGTGTCGACATTATTTTGTTGACACCAGCCATTCTGCCTTACAATTAATACTTAGTCCTTTCTTCTTGCTTTTCCTTACAATCTTATCTAAGAGTTATTTCCATTTTCCTTCTAAGTTTACGATCAAAACAATTTCATTCGTCTATTCTATATCTTATAACGATAATTCCTCATCTTAAAAATCC